AATTTGTAACAATCACAATTCTTAAAATTCCACTTTACATTGATGAGTATTGGGGATTCCCTTCCCCAGATTCTTTTTATGAAACCCTAAAGAAAGCAAAATAACTCATTGTTATTTTTAATTATTATTTTTTACTGTTACTGCCTTTTTAAAAAATAATTTATTACTTACAAGTTTCTAGCTTTTTCATTTATTACAAAAATAGTTTAAGAGGAAACTATTTTAAAGTACAGAAGGATTTTTTTTCTCCCACAAATGCGATCAATTTGTTAAATTGCATTTACGCTATGCTCAGTTATTTATTTATTTATTTGTATAGTCCAGGTCTTTGTTTTCTTTATACCCATCATTATGCTCAGTTATTTTAAACTCAGTATGTACTCTAAAGAGCAGTGATTACCTGTACCCTACTTGTACATGTACAAGTACATTACATTACATTACATGTACGTTACATGTCCTTATGTCCTTTTAAATTGTTATTAGGCTGTGATCTTTAGGCAGCCTATTGAAATAATAGGGTAAATTTTTCAGAAAACCTCCACAGAAAATACTACTAATCATTGACAATATTGTGACTTAAAACTTGGATAGGACTCCAAATTTAATGTTAGTAGAATGTTTGCATATCCTACTTGTACCCCTTTAAATGAAGCACTTACAAGGTGATCTCATACAACTTAAAACTGGAGAGTCTTGAAAGCAGGAGCATAGGGATAGAAGAAAAGAGGAGAACCTCTGTTTCCTTTAGTCACTTTTGTGTAGAATATAGCCCCCCATTTAGAGAATTGCCTTATTTACAAAAACTTGTAATTGTAGAGAGGCAATTTATAGAACAAATTCTTGGAGAGTCGTGGATCAGAGAAACTGGAGTATGGTAACTGATTTTTAGAATTACATTATTTGGGGAACAGAAATGGAAACAAGGGTTGAATTTTGCTATCTTGAGTAATGACCTTGCTGAGGGAAACATTAGAGGTATGGATTAATTTGCTGTTTGGAAAAGGCCCTTTGAGAAAAATAGCTTTGCTCCATTCCATGGGTTACATTTGAGTACTATGTGATTTCATTTTTGTGAACTTGTTCTAAGACTTGGCAGTACCGTAATTTGAAAAATATTAAAAGTGTAATTTAGAACAAAATTCATTTAAAAAAAAATTATATAGTTATGTGGGTTTGGACAAATTTATCGACCACTGCAGCCACAGTAAGACCCCTTCCATCACACTCAGAATTCCCCCCATGGCTCATTGTAGTCCAGTCGTTCTCCTGTCTCCAGTCCTTGACAACCACTGATCTGATTTTTGTCCTTATGTTATTTCTTTTTCCAGAATGTCATATAGATCAGTACAGTATATAGCCTTTTGAGCCTGGCTTCTTTTACTTAGCATAATGCAATTGAGATTTGCTTATGTTGCTGTGTGTATCAGTAGTTCCTTCCTTTTCCTTGATGAGTAGTTGGTATTCTGCAGTATGGATGTACCATACTTTGTTATCCTTTCTCCAGCTGAGGCCATATAGTAGGCAGCAAAATGACTCTCTGGTCTCTAGAACCTGTGAATGTCTTAGTCTTACTTTTGCATACTGACAAAGGGATTTTGCAGATTTGGTTAAGGTTAAGAACTTTGAGATGGGGAGATTATTCTGAATTATGCAGGTTATCCCAGTTATCTTCCCATTGAGTAATTTAGAGGGAAAGAAGAGTAGGTCAAAGAGATGTGCCTGAGGGGACCTTGTGACTGGAAGCTGGCAACCAGCCAGGCAGCAGGGACTTTGGTCCTCACATATCAGGGAACTGACTGCCCAAATGAGCAGGGAGAGAATTCTCCCCTAGAGCCTCCAGAAAGGAAGGCAGTCTGTAGGGACTTTGATTTGAGTGCAGTGAGACCCTGCCCAGACTTCTGACCTACAGAGCTGTGGTATACATTTATGTTATTTTAAACTATTGACCATGTATATATGTGTTAGATCTGTTTCTGGACTCTCTTGTGTTTCATTAATCTAGATGTTTATCCTTTCTCTAATACCATTACTGTCCTAATTACTGTAGCCTTTTAGTCTTGAATGTGATAGTGTGCATCCTTAAACTTTGTTATTCTTTTCCAAAATTGTTTTGGATACTCTAGTTTCCACCTGTGTCTCATTTTTAATAGTACAAAACTCCTTAGTTGGTAGACTGGCTTCCTTCAGCCTCTATTTTACTCCCAGGATAGCAGAAAGAACCAAGGGTTATACCTATCGCTAGGCTAGTTTGCCTGATTGTTAGCTGATTTTTGCCAGAACGGGAAGAATCCTTCTGATGCAGTTCTCTTTTTATCCTTCTGTTGAGGTCTCTTCCCAGTATTTTTCTTTTGAACAGGAGATTGATTTTTTTTTAAATTTTTTTTAAGAAACATAAACCTTAGTAATTCACACGTGTGGTTCTTTTTGGTTAAGTCCTGCAGATCTCCCCAGTGTATTACTCTGATTTAAAAACAAACTCATTTGAGTTACAAGAAAGAATCCTGCCCAGAACTGTATTGGAGGTTAAAGAAAGAAGGTGGACTGATGTTGGTTTGAGAACTTAAATTCCAAGGATAGACCTAGGGCTTTCTTATAATTCAGGGTCAAGACTGTAAATTAAGCTGCTTTAAGGAGCAGTGCAGATGGTAGAAGAGAATTGGGAAAATTAAAACTCTCTTTCTTTTTTCTTTATGAAAAAGAGTACAAAAAACATTGCGAGATTCTTAAACTCAAGCCAGCCGTGTTCTCTTTCCCTCCTTCCTTTATCTCTTCTCCAGTTGTTACAAAATTCTGACATGGTTTTAACGTGTTTGAAATATTTAAATGTCATTTAAATATAAATTGGAGTTCCTCTAGTTTTCCTACCTCTGACAGTATGTTTTATCATCTGGGGGTGACATTTTTTATTTTCCTAAAGCTGGAAATAAGATGTATGTACACATAATTTTCTTATACTTTAAGACATTTCTTATTTTGTCTCTGTCTTGCCTTTTATATTCTTTAGTGAAAATCTTTAAATTGTATTACAGAACTCTGAATGTATATGGTAGTTTTAGTTGTAAATCTGTGTCTGGAATTTTTTTCAGCTTCAG